AAAACGAGGAAGAAGACGTAAGAAGATGCTGGATGACCTTGGGGACAGAAGAGGATACTGTCATTTGAAGGAGAAAGCTCTAGATCGCATTAAGTGGAGGAATTGTTTTGGAAGAGACTGTGGACCTGTCGTCTTGACAGACTACTGATGATGATCTTGTATATCATGGCACTCGGGCCGCCTGGGCCCAGTTCAAAGGCGTACTTGAGAAATTCATTAAGGCAAAGATACAAAGGCAACTGAATGGGAAATATATGTGATGTGAGTTTTCTGCCACAGGAGCCATCATGATAAGACACTGGACAAAGCCATATTATGTTAAACATGTAGTAACGTATCTTTCGGTGAACAGGTGCCTCCAAGAGAGGCGCGTGGAAAATCATTGACGGTCATAAACTAGAGTGAACTAGAGCGAACTAGAGAGACTGAATCATTGATGGTACATACGTAAGAAGCCTGTGTACATTAAACTCTCTGTGGTAACGGAGTAAAACCAATAACTTAGTAGACACTTTTCAAGCAATGCAGACTCAGACAATGAAATGGAATGCATCCGCCGCATGATACGCATATAAAGCGTGGCGGTAAAGGACAAGTTGCCATTCGAAGAGAGCTGTAGGAGTATATTGTATTTTCCTGCGATCACAATGACAGAAATGCATGGTAAGTGGAAATTTTTCTTCGTGTAGACCGTGTAGACTTCGTATATAATGATGTATCGTCAAATTTCTGCCATGAACAAATACTGGTTCGCGACCACATTATTTTACCTGCAAATTTAATTTTCAGTATATTCAGTGGGTCCATTATAATCTACTGTACTTGGAACCGACCTTATACATGCTGAGGCATTTCGGTCAAGAGTCTCCATTCAAGAACAGCATGATTTCATTTTAAATGGCTGTGCAGATCGAACTGTGATACTTTCATGTTAAATAACTTTAACTTTTATTTCTTTTATGATAATATAGCACAACCTGTTACAAAAGTGATTACAGATTATTTTTCAAATATTTTTTCTTGATTTTTGGAGAAGAGTTACTGCTTCATTTTTTCTTGATTTTTGGAGAAGAGTTACTGCTTCATTCTCATAATAAGGTTGAGAACTTTTCCTCCATCATTGTTCTTCACAGGCGTTTCTTTACTATGTTCTAATTTTAAACTTAACATTTTCCCAGCGAGTTAAACTGAAATGATCTTTATCTTAGTCATTTAGCTTAAAATAAGCATGAAAAACTCGATATTTTCTTTCTTCATCAGAATATTTCTGATTTGGGGTTTTATTCAGTTGGACATATTGCCTTTCATGTATCTGTATCTTTATTTTAATTCAATTCAGGTTTAATTTATTCTGTTCAACCATATTGGTACAACCACTGGATCTAGAAAAGTAAAAAATACAAGACAGTACAATATTAATATTCAATTCAATTCAATTTTATTTCATCCATGAATCATAATAAATAATGATAAATAAATAAGACTTGCAATCATTAAAAGATTTTGTCCAAAACAATAAAAATAATAGAACACTGTAAATACTGATACTATGATGTTACTATTACCGTCAGAAATACTTTTCTAGTTTTATGCATAAAAAATTCATCCACAGTATAGAAAGAATGCTCATGCAAATACTTTTCAATGATAAAGCTTTTAATAGAACATGCCAAGTCCTTAATGTCAGCTGGAAGTTGGTTATTCCGTAGATCCTTAATGGCTACCAAAGCCTTAACAACTCAATATATATAATGGGCGTCTATTGGATATTTGCACCAACTACAGGTTATAAGCATTTTTTACCAGTAACCTCCATTTCATCTGATAGTATAGGTTGACCACCAACATGTCCAGGTATTTAGTCTGAATTGAAGCTTTTTTTAATGGTGACACAGCAAAGGTGCGCATTTAACAGCAGCTGCCCTGACACCTCTCTGTCTACACCTCTTAAAACCTATGAAATTTCTTCTGAATGTTGAAATTTTTATGCTCTGTTTCCCTCTTAAAATTGTTTTATAATTTCAGGGTACTGTGTCACTTTTCACCCTAACCAATAAATAAAAACCACTTTCATTAGATCTCACTAAGTGGTTGTTTTATCAAAGATAAGATCAGTATAAAATATAACGAAATATTTGCCTGACTACATATTTAAGACTGATAAGATAGTTTGTTTTGTCTCAAACCAAAATATGCTCAGGTGATCGAAACAAAATCGAAGATAATAGGTGGAAGTTCATACAAGGAAGTGCTGTTGAATAAAAAACACTTAGATTATAAATGAGGAGGAAAATGTGTGTTTCATATTAACACAGCTGATAGCCTGAGAATATTTTATTGTGTACTATCAATCATGTCTGGCTCCACATGTCAATATTCTCTGCTTGTCATCCACCTTTCCTTCTCTGCTTCAGAATCTGTTCAGGAAGCAATCCTTGTTAAAATTGACACAAGTTCAAGCCCAGGACCAGAGAAAACAATATCATATCGAATGCAACAGATAATAATTTAGTTTAAGTTTAAATTTAAGTTTAGCAAAATTTTTGGCATAAGCACATCATTGTGGTACATGACCGAACATTACAGGAATTCAAGAATTCGACTATTTTTCAATAACAAGCAATATTGCAACAGAATCTAAATACAATTTGTAGACTCTGCTTCCTTAAAAATAATCTCCTTTTAATTAATTACACTACAAACATTATTCTTGAACTGATAGTACAATTACAATTTATGGACCCAAATTATTTAACAATAATTATGGTATGTTAATATGACATGTATAAGTTTATCTGCAGAGTACAATATATGTTCTAATAGCAAGGATCTTAGCCCATTTTTAAATTGCACATGGTAGTGTAGTTGGTTGAGGCATTTGCTACAACTTGGAAGGTTGCGGATTCAAGCCCTGATGAGGTCATTGGATATTTTTTTCAATTGGCCTAATCCTTCCAGCCACACTATGGCCCTGGGGCTGACACAGCCTCTAACAGAAATGAGTATCAGGAATATTCTTGGAATATTCTTGGGGGTAAAGGGTGGCCGGTGCTTAGGGCTGACAACCTTGCTGCCATCTATGAGCTGACTGTCTAGAAAATGTTGGAACCTCAACATCTCACAACCCTATGGGCCTCCATGGCCTGCTACAGGGATACCTTTACTTTTTTTTTTTTTTTTACTTACTGCAATTAAATATTTTTTCAGGCACATCAACCAGATCTACTGAGAAAGTGTTCAAAGTGCTTATAGTGGGGGATCCATCAGTTGGTAAGACATCCTTTGTGCAACGTTATGTTTATAACACTTTTAACAGACATTACAAAGGGACAGTTGGTGTGGATTTTGCACTAAAGGTACTCCACTGGGCTGATTCGATGACTGTAAAGTTACAACTGTGGGATATTGCTGGTGAGTAATGTGAATAGAAATGTAAAACTGGTTTGTTTTGTGAGATTTGAAGTTGTACAAAGATTAATGTCGTCCTGGATATGATGCTGTGTAGTTTGGTAGTTTAATAGCATTTCAGAGGAACATACTGCTTACAAAGATTAATGTCGTCCTGGATATGATGCTGTGTAGTTTGGTAGTTTAATAGCATTTCAGAGGAACATACTGCTTACAAAGATTAATGTCGTCCTGGATATGATGCTGTGTAGTTTGGTAGTTTAACAGCATTTCAGAGGAACATACTGCTTCCATTTACAGTATGGCTTTAGTTTGGTTTGCTCATTTTTTCATCTTGTTATATAAATGATCACGTTTTCTTTCCATTTCTTATTTTCATATAACTTTCTCATATATGATTAACCCTTTAACTCTCATGCCCTGCCATAGAAATACCTGCTTGAAACACTAAGGCTGCTTGGGATTAATGCATGTGCACAGAAAACCACATTACTTCTTCAGATATCCTTTGAATGACCACAGATATAAGCTCTATGAAAGACTATTCTGTCTTCTAAATGTCAGTCTATCACTAAGTGATTAACAATCAGTTAAACTCTGTCCTAAATATATATGATACAGACATAAGACAATCAAAGAAATATACTGAATTTAAAAATCTTATTGATATGATGTCCTGTTTATGTAATCTTAAATTCTTTTGATATTGTTTGCCATTTCTTAAATGCCACAAGTGGTGATGGCAGTCTGCCAGAACCCCAAAGCCAAATCCCATGCACCAAATGAGAAATATTTTCAGCAGCTAAAATTTTTCTGTAACTACTGCAAATAGGGCCCTTACTTTTTAACCCCTTGTATGAAAAAAAAGAAATGACCATATTTCAAACTAATATACATGGTGTGTTACAACTTAATCAATTGTAACTTCAGCATCAAAGTACAGTACTAATACAAATTTCACCTAACCAGCTAAATGATTTCCATGCACAAAAATCTGTTCATGGTGGTGCAAAGAGTTGTGAATGAATTATAATATTAATTCTTTTTTGAAAATCTACATCAATATTTTCCTTCATTGGACAGGTCAGGAAAAATTCAGCTGGATGACACGAGTGTACTATAAGGACTCAGATGGCTATCTGATCTTGTTTGACTTGTCAAACAAAAACACATTAACTAATGCAATCAAATGGAAAACTGATGTGGATTCATTGTGTACTCGATCAGACGGGAGAAAACTGCCTTGCATCTTAGTAGCAAATAAGGTTCGTACTGGAGGCAAGCAGTCTAACAGTGCTGCTATTGTTGTTACAGTTGTTGTAATTGTCCTTGTCACCATTGTTTTTGGTGGTGATGGGTGATTGGTTCCTGATGAGTGGAGGGAGTCTATTATTGTACCAGTTCACAAGAAGGGTGATAAAACTGACTGTAGTAATTATCGGGGAATATCACTGCTGTCAACTTGATACAAAATTTTATCCAATATTCTTCCCTCAAGGTTAAGTCCATATATAGATGAAATTATTAGCGATTATCAGTGTGGATTTCGACATAACAGATCAACTACAGATCAGATCTTTTGCATTCGTCAGATACTGGAGAAAAAGTGGGAGTACAATGAGACAGTACATCAGTTATTTGTAGACTTCAAGAAAGCCTATGATTCAGTTAGGAGGGAAGTATTGTACAATATTCTGAGAGAGTTTGGGATACCCATGATACTAGTTAAGCTGATTAAAATGTGTGTATATGAAACTTATAGTAAAGTCTGTATAGGTCTGATAAATTTCCTATCCAGAATGGTCTAAGACAAGGAGATGCTTCATCACCACTCCTCTTCAACTCTGCTTTAGAATATACCATTAAGAAGGTCCAGGAAACCCAGGTGGGACTGAAATTAAATGGTACACATCAGCTGTTGGTCTATGCCGATGATGTGAATCTACTGGGTAATAATATAGATGCCATAAAGAAAAACACACAGATTTTAACTGATGCAAGTAAGGAGGTTGGTCTAGAAGTAAACACAGAGAAAACTGAGTATATGTTGCTGTCATGTCACCAAAATGCAGGGCAAAATCATGACATAAAGATAGGCAAAGATGTTTTGAAAATGTGGCACAGTTCAGACGTTTGGGAATGACAATAACAAATCAAGACCTGATGATTAAGGAGGAAATTAAGAAGAGATTGAACTTGGGTAATGCTTGCTACCATTCAGTCCAGAACCTTTTGTCTTCATGTATGCTGTCCTAAAACATTAAAATTAGAATATACAAAAATATAATTTTGCCTCTGATTCTGTATGGGTGTGAAACTTGGTCTCTGACATTAAGGGAGGAACATAGACTGAGGGTGTTTACTTTAAAATTATAACTAAGGATTTTATAAGTGCTAACGTGTGTAACAAAAATAATCTATAAACCAGACAGATATCAACGAAGTAGATGTTGATAATAACAACGAAAGGAACAAAGTGTTTTTTAAATGTTAAATTTTAAACTAAGTGCAGTGTAACAGCAACGTGAGTGTATACACCTGATGATGGCCATTTGAGGCCAAAATATGTAGTGTAAAGGAGAGCAACATCAAGGATATATATATATATTGTTTGCACTTGGGATGGAGTTTGTATTCATTTATCGTATAGTGTGCAACAGGATACTTAAATATAATCTTCTTTTAAGTATCTTTGCTATTATCTTTTCTGTATGTGCAATATGGCTTATTCTGCGATGGTCGCTGCATTTTGTAGCTTTTGTCTTTTTCTTTAAGGCAATCATTGTCACTTCTGTAAAGTCCTTGGGCCACTCCCCAGTTTCATATATGGTGTTTATTAGTTTTGTCAGTGTTTTCAAACCAGCTTCTCCTGGTAACTTAAGCACATCTCCTGTAGCCTTTCCATTCCTCATGTCCTTGATAGCTTTTTCCACCTCACCTTGTAAAATACAGGGTGTCCCAGGAGGAATGTGCCAAACTTCGGGAGGGTGTTCCTTATGTTAAAGTATGCCGATATAACCCAAAACACCTATGTCCAAAGTTGAACGGTTACGGAGATAATGGCCCAAGTGTGGTC